CTTCCTTCCTTCCTTCTTTCCTTTCTTCCTTCCTTCCTTCCTTCCTTCCTTCTCTTTCTTTTTTTTCAAGACAGGGTTTCTCTATTTAGTCTTATCTGACCTGGAACTCGCTCTGTAGACCAGGCTGGCCTCGAACTCAGAGATTCATCTGCCTCTGCCTCCCCAGAACTGGAATTAAAGATGTGCACTGCCACTGTCCAGCTTCTGTTATTATTTTTATGACTACTCAGAATTTGCTTCCTCAGCTGGAAGAGAAATGAGGCTGGAGTTTACAAACTCTGGGCTAACCTTAGATTCTAAAGGTTAGGCCCCTGAGCTAAGACATACACACATACTCACACACACTCGATCCTCAGTGTGGAGAAGCCTCCTCTTAGAGCCCCTAGCGACGGGTGAGCCTCAGGGGAGGGGTCCACGCAGAGTCACGGGGCTTCTTCTCATACCCTGTTCTCCTTCCCTCCAGGTACAAGACAGTGGTGACCCAGCGGCGGGCGGCAGTGGCCATAGCAGGCTGCTGGATTCTCTCCCTTGTGGTCGGCCTGACACCCATGTTCGGCTGGAACAATCTGAGTGAGGTGGAGCAAGCCTGGGCAGCTAATGGGAGTGTGGGGGAGCCCGTGATCAAGTGTGAGTTCGAGAAGGTTATCAGCATGGAGTACATGGTCTACTTCAACTTCTTCGTCTGGGTGCTGCCGCCGCTGCTTCTCATGGTCCTCATCTACCTGGAGGTCTTCTACCTGATCCGTAAGCAGCTCAACAAAAAAGTATCCGCCTCCTCCGGTGACCCCCAGAAGTACTACGGGAAGGAGCTGAAGATCGCCAAGTCACTGGCGCTCATCCTCTTCCTCTTCGCCCTCAGCTGGCTGCCACTGCACATCCTGAACTGCATCACCCTCTTCTGCCCCACCTGCCAGAAGCCCAGCATCCTCATCTACATCGCCATCTTCCTCACGCACGGCAACTCGGCCATGAACCCCATCGTCTACGCCTTCCGCATCCACAAGTTCCGGGTCACCTTTCTGAAGATTTGGAATGACCATTTCCGATGCCAGCCCAAGCCTCCCATTGACGATGACCTCCCAGAGGAGAAGGCTGATGACTAGCCTCCACCTTGCTCCCTCCAGCCCACAACCAGTGTTCCAACTGTCCCATTGCTCCTCCTCAGCTGCCCCAGCGGGGGTGTGAGCTGTAGGCACCAGGGAGGCTCTGAAGAGATGCCACAGAGCAAGGCCCCTTCCACAAGGATCCAGCTGCCCTGTACCGCGGGGAGCTGGAGGAAGCTTGGAGGTGGGTCAGGCTATGGCAGGGAACTGGGTGCCCTGAGGTGTTGAGTGCCCATACCTGGCTGTTCTACAAGGCGTTCAGAGATCTAGGGCTAGAATATTCTGGCTCCTACAGTCAAACAGGGGGCATGCTATTAAGACCAACTTCAAGGTGAGGATAAGACTCCCTCAGAGAATGGACGGAGAGAAGTGGGTATGTCCTGGCTTTGCTTTCTCTCCTATTCTGTAGGAAAAGATAGCAAAGTGCAGGAAAGGAGACCTTATCCCCACCTCCAAGGATTTTGTGTTCTGGTCATACAGGTCCTACAATGCCCGCCGTCCTTACCCGACAAGCCTGAGGTTATACATAAACGAGGCAGAAAGAATGGGGCTAGGGAGCGACTCTCGGATTTTGTTTATTCAGGGTCCTGAAATTCCAGTGGGCCTCTAAGCACTGGGAAGTAAGCATGGTCCAGTAGGTGCTGGCCTCAAACAGCCAGCAGAGGGCAGCACTGAGCACTTTTGCCCTGACCGTCTGGGTATCCCCAATGTAACTTTCTGTCTTCTGGGCCTCCAAGCGTCACCAACTTTCAGAGGCAGGCCTGGACTCTCCTGGATGACACTGTCTCTGTTTCTGGGCCCCAGGATAAGAAATTCCCAGAAAGGACAACCCTTGGGAACATTCTGCCTGAGTGGGAAGGAAGATGAGGGAAGCCTCCAAGAGGCTCCCAGGTGACGTGGGCACTCCTGGTGTGGGGAATGGCAGGCCAGACCAGACCAGAGACCACTCTCTCGAGAGTGTGAAGGATTGCCTTGCTGGCATTCAAATATCCAAAATGCTCCTGGGGGGTTACGTTCAGTCTTTAGGGGTTTCAGAAGCTGTGTTACGAGGATAGTGCAGGCCTTTGTGGGTCTCAGGACCAATCCACACCCTGCTGAACCTGGCTTTCTTCCTTGTGTGGACAGCAGGCAGGGGAGGGTGACAGGTTCTGAGTGTGAATATTGACCCCAAGGCTTGATTCCAGGCTCTTCCCTCAGTGGGTGAGGTGTCCCTGGTGCCCAAGGAGGTCCCTATGTCTAATAAAAGACTGTGAACCCTTGTGAAGAGTGTGTTGCCGGTACCACCCCAGGGCTATCAGAGGGTAACTAGATCACCTTAGCAGAGAAGACGCAATGGTGGCGGTGGTGGGAAAGCTGGGAGAGGGGTGTGGGAGCAGATGGAACAAGGAAGGTTCCAAGGTGGTGTGTCTGTTGCTATAGTTACACATTTAGGGTAGCACATTGTGAATCAGGAAGCAAAATCTGGAATGTTCACATGTCTGAAAACTGTCCTGTGCTATCGCAGGACCCTTCCTGTTGGTATTTTCCTTGTGGTGACAGTGTCTCCCTGCATAGTGACGTAGTATCTTCCTGTGATATTCACTGCCACAGAAGCCCCATGCTGTAACACCACACACATTTATTTGACTGCTTCTCACCCAGCATACAACTCTGCAGGGGGCACCAGTCACTGCGCCTCTGGGGCACTCTCGTACCCAGGAGGCCTGACCTGAGGCCTGCCAAGCCCACTCCTGGGTCTGGCTGGACACCAACTCTGGGGGAGGGAGGCCTGCAGGTACCAGAGGCCTCTCCATGTTCCTATGGTGTCTTGGTCTTGGGTATCCGTGGAGAGACATTTTGGTCCTGAGGGCCCGATCCTCAGGCCTGCAGGACCTGGCAGACAATGTCCTTCTGAGCCATGGTGTGTGACCAAGCTGCCAGAAGAGAAGTAGAGGAGTCAGGTGGAGAGTCACCTCCACCCTTCTCTGTCTTTCCTTAGGCTCAGTTCCCATGGCTAAACTCTGCCTACTGTAGCCCTAGAACTTCCTAGTTCTTCCAGAACCTCAGAGTCACTGAATAAAGAAGGAAGGGAAAGGGCTGGGTCCCTACTTTTCTGATGAGGAAAAGGTGCAAAGAAGATATCTACGTTTGTAGTCACTCAGAGTCGAGGCTAGACCTGCCCTGTGACCACCCACGCTGTACCTTCCCTTCCGGACCACACCAGCACGGCCCAGCCCTACCCTGTCTTTACCAAATTGAACATGCATGCTAGTAGACTTTAGCTGCAAAATTGTACCCAGATCTGTCTGCTGCCTTCCCTTCCTGCCTAGCTCTTCCCCAGTGACACTTTGGGCCTGGGAAGTGGGTTCTCCCTTCCCAGTGTCCTCTTCGACCATGCGCTCACTGGAGGTAGCTGAAGGGGTGGACCCTTCTGCTCACCTGTCTCCTTGTCCCAGTCTGCCATGTTGCTCCTCAGTGTGTGGCAGAGGCTGAAAGAGATCCTACAGGTTAGCCCTTGGGGGAAGACAGGCAGGAACTGGGAGGTTTGAAGTTCGATCCCCAGTGCCCTGATCCCCAACTAGAACATCTTCCCACCTGAAAAGTCACACAACCTGTCCTTAACGCTCCCCTACTCCTGTCTCCTGCTCTGGTTTTCACTCTGAGTTGCGTCTAGTCCCGCTCCAAAGAGGGATCTACCTGTCCCCTATGACCAGGAACTAAGGGAACCTTCAGACTCTCACCTTTGACCTCTAATCGGCAGTCCACAGAGGCCTCCCCCAGGACGTTGATGGCCTTGCACGTGTAGACCCCAGAGTCAAAAGGGCTGGGCTTCCGGATCTCCAGGGTGCAGACCCCTTGCTCAGAAACTGCGCGGTACTTGGGGTCACCCTGGATATCCATCTTGTTTTTCATCCAGATGATCTTGGGCTGGAAGCAAGGTCAGATGAAGCCCAACGAAGTGAGAACGTGGGTTGCAACCGGCTCTCAGGAGACAGTTTCAACCCTGCTGCCCTTGCCCGCCCCACCAGCCCTGGGCCCCTCACCTTGGGTGAAGCTCGGACGCTGCAGAAGAGTTGTGTACTATAGCCGGGAGTGGAGGTGTGGTCAGCCAGGGGCTGGGTGAACGACGGGGCTTCTGAGAAGTCGCGCTCAATAAACCCCTTAGGTTTGGCAGTGATATCTGAGTTCAGGCGAGAATTTGAGGTTAAAGGCGTTGAGGGGGCTTCAGAAGACTGACCTCAACCCCTAAGCTTTGAGGAGCTCAACCTGGTCAACACGTGGAAACTGACAGGCACCAGAGAAAGCCTAGCTGAGTGGAGCTGAGGCAGGTCAGAAAGTGAACAGAGAGGAGTGGGTGGGGAAACCAGAGCCACAGGTCAGTGCGGCAGAAACCAAACATCACATTCCATTTCTGTCTTTGAGGCCTGAGTGGCTTCTTTTCTTCTGAACACAAACTTAGGGCTGTGCTGCTTGGGATGCTGTTCAGAAGTGTGGCTTCCAGGGTGACTGAGATGGCTCGGGGGTAAGGATGCTTGCCACCAAGCTTGCCACCCTGTGTTCAATCCTGGGGCCCAGAAGGTAGAAGGAGAGACCTGGTAAGTTGTCCTTAGAGTCCACATGCGTGCGTGCATGTGAACACACACTTACACACAAATAAATGTAATTAAAATGAACAATAATTAAAAGTGTGACTTTTAGGGTCACTGTATGTGTATGTTGTGGGGGAGGATCTGGGACAGGCAGGAGTCAAGGTGGTGTCCCAAAGTTTCACGTTTGCCCTCACTATCAGATGCCTTGATGGGGACAGAGCCAGTCTTGGGGTGGGGTGGTGTGTGTCCTTACAGGTTGCAGTCTGCCCGTCATGTACACGTCACCTTTCAGAGCGTGGTCCTGGGGACACTGGGCAGGAGACCCAGTGACTTCCGTGATGTCAGCAGCCACAGTCATCTTTAGAACAAGGACACAGCCTCCTGCGGGGCACTGCTCATCTGCGTGGCTTTGCTTTGGTGTTTGCAAAAATCTGTCCGTCCCTACCCGTTATTTATGGTCACTCCATGTCAGTGTGTGTACGCAATCACACATACACTCATATCACAGAGAACTATTGAGTGGGGGGAAGGGCAGCCAATGTTCCAAGGAGCAGGGACCGAGGAGAAGCCTAGAGGGGTGTGGGGACACAGAAGAAGCGGTAGTGACAGATGCGGGAATACCAGTCCTGCTTAGGTTTCCTGCCCAGGTTCGGAACCACTAACCTGCCTTCTGGATGTGAGCCAGCTCCTTGGTGGTGGTGGCCACATCACTGAGGCCACACAGGTTTTCCGAGAAGACCCGGAAGGAGTAGGAGTTACCAATGATGAGGTCTGAGATGGTGCAGGTGGTGGGGTGGTAACGCTCCAATACCGTGAACCATTGCTGCGGGGACAACGGCTGGGTGACCTCCAGCTCGTACCCAGTTCTTGTCTTTCCTGCTTACCCAAATTCACCTCAGAGGGGCTCATCCCATGTCCCAGCTTTGGGTGGCTGAACCATCCAGCACTGGGCCTGGGGGACTTGGAAATGGGAAAAGGACACCTGGGTCCCTCATAGGAGCTCAGGAGCCTCACTACTCAGAGTGTGGCTGGCAGGCTTGCAGCCGCATGACCTGGGCACTGTTTAAACGTGGGGGTTCCCAGCACTCAGCCCCAACCGCCTGCATCAGAGTCTACATTTAGCATAATAAGATAGTTCCATTGCGGCCCAGTAGCCTAGGACCATGGAGGGAGTCGGTCAGCGGTAGTTGGTCATCCAGAGTCCCTTAGTGGGATGAGTCTTTTCGGTCTGAGCTACTTCTTTTATGGCCGAGCCAGCCTCACCCCTGTCTTTTTGTCCGCCTTCTGCACCGTGTAGCCCAGGAGCTCCGTGTTGCCTGTGTCCTGGGGTGGAGTCCACTCGAGGGCGGCATTGCAACCCCAGACGTCCAATAGCCTGATGCTACTCGGGGGCCCAGGCTTCTCTGCAGGACCAGATCATGAAGGGAAGTGAGCGGAAGCAGGCCCGCTATGAAGTCTCCTCACCCACAATTTGGCACTTGCCACGATACCCTAGCCTTCCCTCACCTACCATCCACTCTGGGATGGAAGGTGGGAGACGAGGGTTTTGAGACAGCCCTTTCCCCTCTGCCCTTTTACCAATCACGAGGATGTCAATGTTGGCCTTGGCTTCCAAGCCTTCCAGACGCACAGTGAGTTCATAGCGGCCCGAGTCTGAGCGCTGAGCAGAGCGAATAAAGAGGATGGAGTCCTGGTCCCCGGTGCGCACATTCACCCTCTGGCTGTCTAGGGCTTGGCCATTGTGGGTCCAGGAGGCCTGTGGTTTGGGCTTCCCCTGACAAAGATGGGCTTGGGGTGAGTGAAGATTGGTATACGCACCCCACTGCCACCCCACGATAGCTGTCCCACAGTTGCTGCCCAGAACTGTTTCTTCTAGTGTGTGGCCTGCCCGGGGTCTGACTATCTGTTCACTCACAGTTGAATTATACACAAAACTGGGAAGGCAGCCACCTTTATGGGTCCCAGGCAGACTCCAGTCAGAATCCTAACATTCCCAGGTCTCTCCTGATGCATCAGGACCTTACCAGTGAGGCAGGTTTACCTGGAAGGGGATTTGCAGGTTAACGGACTCTCCTACTCGGCGGATGTAGGTCTGCCGAAGGTGTCGGGGAACACGGATCTTGGGGGCTTCTGCACAAAAACAAATATCTGGGCTTAGCCCAATTGAGTGAGGACTTCTGAGGCAGGAGGAGGGGAAAGCAAGTGTGGGTGACAGCTAGACAGGACAGCTCCCACTTAGTATGTTCCCACGAGTTTGGGCAGCCTCCTCACTGGGAGGGCAAAGCCTTCAATGCTGAGACTGAGGGACCCAAATCCCTTAAGGCACTTGGGTTGCTGAGAGCCGAGAGGCTCCCAAGAGGTCAGGGGCTCTACAGTGTGAACTGGTTGGTATCTCCGGCACTCCTTTGGCGCTTCAGCCTTGCCAGGCTGGGATTTACCCTGAGGCGTAGGCATTCTCAACCTCCAGATGGACCTGGCTGGCTCTCTGTCTCCCCCTGGAGGGAGGCAGGTTCCACATCTGTCTGCCTAGAGGGACTGAATGCGCAGGCTTCCTGATGATCGTGCACCCCAGGGACCCAGGACTTTTCTGAGAACATGGAACCTCACTGGCTCAAGCCTCTGCCTCCAGGTCTGCTGGGAGGCTCAGGCTCTTCGCACAGGCGCTAGAGCAGGCGCCCCAGCTCCTTCCCCTACC